CCCAAGGTTGTACGCTGAGGCCTGTGTTGCTGAGAGCTGAATGAAGCTGATTGGAGTCAGAGGACTAAAATAAAGTTTTTAACAAGAAATCCAGCTGAATCCTGTTTATTCGGACAYACCATATTAAAACACGTATTTTCTTACAATGTTACAACTAATCATGGACCACTTTAAACAAACCAAAACTTTGTACACTATGCAGACATCTATATAGAAGTAAATCAAATACAAGCTGCACTGCAGCTGGTTAACACTGTTGCCTCACAGCAAGAAGGTTCTGGCTTCAAAAATTGCCAGAGGCATTTCTGAGTGAAGTTTTCATGCTCGCCCTGGTTTTTCCTCCCCTTCTTCTGGTCTTGATGAAAGCTTCATTAAAAAAAGTACTCGCAAAAATCCTTTCTCCGTTCTGCACACTTCAAAAAGGGAGGTGGGCAGCTACCATGGTGGCTACAAGGGGGTCCAATAAAATAATGTGCACAGCCTAGAACTGAAAGCTTGAAAGCTGGGATTTAAAATAAATAAATGAATAAATTGGCCGGGGTAAACAGCTCGCTGGCGGCTTATTGGCGAAAACATTAAATTGTAATGAGTATTTTCTTACAATTTTACTCATAATTTTGAGTTTCCAACTGATTTCCAACWGTTGCAGCACAGTGAAGTACTAGAATAAGCAATAAGATGCTGAGACATGTTGGAGCAATACCTTGTCTGCCCATTTAAAAAAAAAACAGCTTGTGTAATTGAGAGTTTAAAATTTGATATTCACATTCTCAGTAAGTTGTTGGCTCTTGGGCAGATAAACATACTGAAAGCTACACTTTCGAATTTTAAAACACAGTTTTAGTAAAAACAAATCTTGATAAACTGTTCCTGTGACTTTTACTGATTGCTGCTTTTGTTCTGCGTTTCTTAGCGCAGCGACTCAGATTGTTTGTCCCTTCTCAAGGACACTGCAGCATTAATTTATCCTTTTGTTGCACTATTCCCAAATGTAAAAGACAAAGAACTGCAGGGCTTCAAGCATCAAAAATATTTTGCTGATCGCTTCGTAAATTTCACTGAAAATGTACTTTTGAAGTTCAAAAAAGGTTACCCCATTTGTTAACAGGGATTTTGTTTTGACTGATGCAAAGTTCTTGTTTGATTCTTAGTTTTTGTTTTCTTATTCTCATACACAAAATGAAGAAAACTTGAAGAACGAGGAAAACCTAAGAGTTGCGTAAAAAAGGTGTAGCAGTTGTTGACTGCAAATTGTGCTGAACACGCCTCCCTGTGAGTCCCTGCTGCATATTTTTTTTATGAGTCAAGACAATGTGAAGCTCAAAACAGTAGTGAAATCAAACCCTCCGTCAGTGCAGCTGCTACATCAATTTGTGGTTCAGTGTGGGTTTACTGCGTTCCAGTCGGTGAGTCGCTCGATGGCTGAATTTACTTCTGTTCTGAAATATTGCTTGGTAATTGCTAAAACTAAAATTTCACAATTTAACTGCTCTCAGCCAGACTTTGGCAATCAAATCAATACATGTAAGAGTTGACAAAAGCATTAGGCGCAGCCTCCATTTCCCTGAAATTGGGGGGAAAGAAAAAAAAAAGTTGGGGAAAAGCCTGCGGCTGAGAGTTGAGAAAAGTCACAAGTCCTTATTGATTTAATCCTTGAAGTGGAGATGAAGGGCAAGAGTCTGAAGTCGGGGGARAACAAAACACATCACCTTATCAAGTCGGTATTGCATAGCGCGTTGTATTCTCTATTATGCTCTTTTGCATTTGTTTAAACACATTTCCCTGCATTATCTGGCATATMATTTCTAATACTAGAAGCACTCGGAGAGCGCAAACCTCTGCCAAGGCCGCATGTTTGTATGTGAGTGTGTGTGTTTGTTTTGTGTGGGATTTATTACATTTTTAGTCATAGGTTTATTTGTGTACAAGTGCTTTACAATGACTAAACACGTAATAAATTACATGCAGCAGAAGGAGTGGAACAGCATCAGAAAAAAGAAAACATTTAGCCATAAAAAAATAGACTAAACATAATTGTTTAAGAAAATCTCAGCGTTATCTACTGGATAACAGAACGGAACGGGGGGTGGTGAGTTAGCTAGCTTACCTTTCTGATACAGGTGTGTGTGTGTGTGTGTGTGTGTGTGTGTGTGTG